TGGGACAGGGGCAACAAAAGACTGGAAAAGTTAAGTGTGATGCTAAAACAAAACACCGGGTTGAATATCTCACAACATCTCTGGGCCCGAGCTCATTTAAGATGGACTGAGGCAAAATGGAAAACTCTCCTGTGGTCTAATGAATCGAAATTTCTAATTATTTTTGGAAATCATAGACGATGCATGCACCAAGCTAAAGAGGATCCTTCAAGCTAAAGATATTTCTATTTTCAATATAAAACTATAATAAAAAATATGGCTGTATATGATTTGTAAATTCTGTTTCTATTTACATTTTGCACAGCACCCAAATATTTTTGGAAACGGGGTTGTAAAACTAAACATTTTCACCTAAATTTCTTTACCCAGAATTTTTACATCTGTGGTGATATTTTCGCAAAAACCTTGTCCTGAAGTGGACAAATACAAATATCACAGTCTTGCACTGTACATTATAGACCTTGATTCCCCACAGCGCCTCCAATCATGCAGATATTTCCAGCCTTCCAGCTCCACAGATACTGCCAGTTTTATATAAGTGGTTGGGCCCAGTTTCAGCTCAGGTGATTGGGTAGAGTTCCACTTCAGTGTGTTTAGGACTACAGCTGTGATTGAAATGTCAGGGCTTGCTTTGAAGGCACATCTATTTGAGAATTATTTTGTACATCAGCATCATGAATGTACAATCCTATATTTAGCATTGTAGCAAGCAGGGAATCAGTCTTGCACTACATGCCATATTCAATTTCCTTGTACCTCCACAGTTCTGCTTCACATGGGTTTCTCCTTTGGTACCATTATTGCAGAGACAATAATAAGTAATCATTCATAACGTGTCCTGTAAAGGACAAACATTTCAGCGTTTAAGTGGACAATAATAGAAACATTCAAAGTCAATGGTTACAAGTGGCATGTCTGGAAAAAGAAATGAAATGAATGTGGGGAGCGAAAGCCCCCGCCATCTTGTCTGATCTAGCAGGAGAGCTACTGTAGCACAAAGTGCTGAAAAAGTTCATGCTGGCTATAATAGAAAGGTGTCAGAACACCCAATGAGTCACAGCTTACTGCACTGGGGCTACGTAGCCGCAGCCCAGTCAGATTGCCCACGCTCTCCATTGCTAAAAGCACCTACAATGGGCATGTGAGTGTCAGAACTGGGCCATGAAGAAATAGAAGAAGGTGCCTGATGAGTCACATTTTCTATTATATTATATGGACGGCCGGGTGCCTGTGCCTGGATCGTTTATCTGTGGAAGGGATGGCACCAGGATTCTTTATGGGAATAACGCAAGCCAACGGGCGCAGTATGATGTTCTGGGCAATGTTCTGCTGGGAAACCCTGAGTCCTGGCATTCATCTGGATGAATAATTATTCACGGATGGTTTAAAGAACACAAAAAAAAGAGTTGAAGGTGTTGACTTGGGTCCCCCAAATTCCCCAGATCTCAGTCTGATTGCGCATCTGTGGGACGTTCTGGGCAAACGAGCTCGTCCACGGAGGCCCCACCTCGCAACCTACAGGACTTGAAGAACTTCCTGCCAACATCTTGTTGGCAGATACCACAGGACGCCTTCAGAGGTCTTTTGGAGTCCATGCCTAGACAGGTCAGGGCTGTTTTGCTGGCACGAGGGGAACCTATACAATATTAGGAGGGTGGTTTTAATGTTATGGCTGATCGGTGTATATAGAAAGCTTGGAGTCATTTTCCTGGGGGTTAAGTACCTTGATGTAGGATCCAACAGAGGCTGTGGCTACTTTCCAAGGGGATCTAATCTGCAACCTTCAGATCACTTCTCATAATAAATACTAGCATTCCCACTATAGCTATTGTGGCCCATTGTTAAATACAATATGCAGTTCAGAGATGCCATCATATCTAAAATTAGTATGGCAAAGCTCTTACCAGACAGATCCCACATCAAACCAGCAGCTGCAAGCAGAATTTTTAAAGCAAATGAAACAGTGACTTGTTGTTAAATTGCTGTAACTAATATATTAAATGGATATGGGTGTTGCATTATTTACAGCATCCTAGCAGAGATCCTAGTAGAGTGTACTCAGTCATTCATCTTCTGACCGTTTATCCCTAGTCAGGGTCGTCGTAGAGTGCTGCACTATATCCCCAACAGCACAGGTAAGATGAGTGGTTGTAAGATATATGTGTGAAGTCTTAAGAAACATATTCAGTATCGGTTATAAATATTAAACTCTTGGTGATTTTCAAAAATGCATCTAATATTACAATAACATATAAGTACAATATAACTACATTAACTATTTGCTGTCTAGAAAATCACACTACCAATAGTTAAATATTACAATAGATACCACTAAATGCCTCGTGTGGCTCTTTGTAGAGAATGGTCAAATATGTTTCTGCACCCTATAGACAGCATGGTCCAATGCTACAAAAAATTCTCATTTTCTGGATCTTATTTTCATTTGGCTTAAATAATACTAGCAGTAGGAATGCACAATGCATTGTCTTCACCACAAACATATATCTTAGTCATTGTTCTCCAAACATCTTAAAATACCAGTTTTACCAGACGCCGCTCTGGAGTTCCCCAGAGGGATGTGGGCCAGGGGACTTCACAGGGCTGGAATTTTGCTACTCTGTTCCCATGTAAAGTTGTGCTTCCCTACCACTGTTTATGAAACTTTCTATTTTCATGTCAGTAAATGTAACTGTCTTGATAAGGTCTTGAGAATCATTCTTATCTATTCTGTTAACCCTTTATCTTCCCTGTGCTTCTTGCACCAATTTAGCTGTTCCCAGTCATTTTGAAGGATTTCTCTATTAATCCATTAATTATACATTAATATTACATTTTTAATACTTTATCACATACTTAGGTCTCCCTTCTGCTTTTTTCCCCGTAATGCTTTGCATTCTCATGAACACACTCAGTTTTATTTAATGTGAAAGAATACATTGGATTTAATGCACTGGCATTAGTTGTTTATTGAGAAACACTTTAAAACCTCATATTATTGTTCTCTGTCCCTGTCATCTTGCAGTGATCTACACCTCCTGACAATAACCTCATAAGCTGCTGTTCCTAGTTCATAAGAAACCGCACTATTGGTGTGATTCCTTCCCCATTGTTAGACGAGCAAACTGGCTCTTATTTACTCTCACTGTCACTGTGCACTTTCACAGCACACAATTCATTCTTCTGTTATAAATTCCTATTGTGTCTTATATTCTACCTAGAGAACATCATTGTCACGGTTTATCTGGTATGTGGTAATATCCGAAATACATCCGAGTTAGATTATCTCACTCAAGGGGGTACAATTTCCCATGAGTGCTGTTCCTTTCAAGCGCAACGACACATGTACATGCTACTGACAAATTCCATCGAAAGTTAGTAAGAAAAACAATGGCTTATTCTCACACTTCTGACACGTCATGCCACATCCTTTAGGACTTGCTGCAGCTTGCAGCAAAGAAAGCTTAATTTCTCATATATATTTAATCCCAGGAATTCATCTGTAAGCACTTTCTAAAAGGCTATTCATACACTGGAAAACAAATCCATTTTTGTTTGACATCTAGACTTTAGAAAAATGAAATATTGAAACCCAATGTCACTTTAGCTAATTGCTTTAACAAAGTAAAGATCTGGGTCACTGAAAACTTATTACTAAATGCACAGAAAACTGAGGTTCTGTCTGCAGATTTGAATGCTATAATCTTCACACTCAACTCTGAAGGGGCTGAAATTTTCCCTCAGCAGCTCAGCCCATAACCTAAGGCATTATCTTAGATACAAGCCTCTCATTCAAATCGCATATGTATGCAGTATGGAAAGTGTGCTTCCTACAGCTATGTAACATTGTCAACTACTACAATTTCTTACAAATTGAGACATGGAGAAATTGATATATGCCTTTGTATACAGTAGGTTAGACTACTGTAATGCTCTGTTATCTGGAAGCCCACACCGCACATTAAACACCTTGCAGCGTATTCAAAATGCAGCAGCTCGAGTTTGAATACAGAACCCCTTTTCTTAGTTCTCTGCACTGGCTTCCTGTTAGGTTCAGGACTGACTTCAAAGTTCTCCTACTTACATATAAGGCATATAAAGGGGAAGCGTGTGGCTCAGTGGCTCAAGATCACCGGTTCAAACCCCGCCTCAGCATGTCTGCGGGTCCTTGAGCAAGGCCCTTAACCCCCAGCTCCCTGGGCGCCGCTACGGGTGGTTGCCCTTCGCGGACAACTTATACTCTACAAAAAAGAGCAAGTTGAGGGAGGTGTGAAGACAGTTTCTCCACAGGGATCAATCAAGTACAGTAGCTGACATTGAATTTGGTGAATAATGACATTTTTCAAACACCCTTCATGAACAAGCATTTTTAGTATATTTAGTTTTGCTCCAACACTTCTAAGTTTTTGAGTCAATTATTCAGTACCGGAAAGTGGACCGCAGTTCTGCCTACAAAGGTCGGCGTCAGTGGACCTGCAGCAGCATTCCTGTAAGTTTATATAACTGCAAACTGCCTGTAAACCCTGCTGACTAGTTTGTACAAAAAATGAGTCTATGACAGGTTACTGGTGATTTTTATGTCGGGTATCAGAATGACATTATTAGGTATACAATGCATTGTATATGAAAAAAAGTTAAGTTGAAATCACAGAAAAACCAGACGTGCTGGAGCAGAACTAAATATACTAAAAACGTTTATGAAGGGTGTTTGAAAAATGTCATTTGAAATTTGATGTTGGCAAGTGTAATTTATGTTGAACTATAGCTTGTCCTTGGACCCTCTTCTTTTCTTGGGAGGTTTTCGTTCCTCTCCTCATTTGTCACCTGGCTTCCTTTCTTTCATATCTCTGTCCTTCCTTTCCCTGCTTTTGCATCATTCTGCCTTAATGATGCTGTAATGTCTCACCACACACCCATGTAACGCGCCTTGGGGCGACTCAGCTGTGAAAGGCGCTATAGAAAAATAAACTGAATTAAAATGAAAACCAAAGATAAAGCCAAACCTGTTTTTAAATCTTTATTTGGTTTTAGTTAAAGTCACATAAAATTTCATTTTATGTCAGAAATACAGAATTATTATTAGACTGCCTTAAGAATACAAAGTCATTATATAAAAATACATTCAAATCAGATCTTTATTTTAAGATTAAAGACATGCAATAAGATTTATATTATAAATGGTATCCAGGATTTTAATAGCTATAAAATGCCCCCGATATGTCTTTAAAAAGCAACTATATATTAGATGCTTTGTAGCTTACAAGATTTTGTGCAGCATGTAGGGTAATGATACCAGTCGTATCTCAATGAACTACAAACAGCAACATGTGGTACACAACAAAAATCACGAACTATGTTAGAGAAAATGAAAATGCCAAAAGTGCGTCTGTGAAAGAAAAATGATTCTTTTTTTTCCTTCTGGTACAGAGACTAAATAACTGAAGTCTGTGCAGGTCCAACAGCATTCACAGCTTGAAATTCTTGCACCATTTGTTCTAGGGAAACAGGAAAAATATTGTAAAACACAGAAGCAATAAAATAAAAATCAATAAATCAGGAATGCATTAGAGCAGTGGAAGAACCTAGGAGGTAAAATACAAAACCAGTATTATTATTATTATTATTATTAATAATAATAATGATGATGATGATGATGATAATAATAATAAACTTTCCGTTATTAATTTATGTTTCATATTCGTTTTGACATATTGAAGAATTCTCTAGGGTCTCATTTACCTTGAACTTGTTCTGTATGCATCCGTAACGTTTTTCCTGCAGGTAGCTGATCAGCTCATTTACCCATGATGCACCAGGGGGGGCACACAGCCTTCGGTTTTTCATGGTGATAAAGCTGGAATACAAACAGCACCCCTTTTAGTGTTTTTCCTCTATGGAGTAGCAGACATCTCAGTTTACTATAAAAGCCTTTAAGGAATGGTTATTACACTAGAGGTCAGCAGACCTTCAGAGATGGCCACTCTAAATACAGCGGACGTGCTTGTGCTGCTTCCTCACTAAGTGCTAGCTCACTGGATGTCTGCCTCGCCCTTGATGCACAGGTGGGCGGCCCAGCCAGCAGCTCTGGAGATTCTCTTCTTCTTCTTGTGTCAATATTTGAGCTCTACTACTAACTTGAATTGTTTCATGTGTTAGGAACGAAAATTAATTGAATTAAATTATTATGGTGGGACTTGAGCAGTAACTGGCTGTATGTCTGTGGAGTTTGAATCTTCTTCCCTGGTCGTATCCTCTGAGTAGCCCTGTTTCCTCCCACAACATCCCTAACTTGTCCACAGTGTGTGATTGTCTGCCCTGTGATGGACTGTCTGTGTCTGTCTTCTGGGGATTGGCTCACCGTGACCCAGTGTCGGGTAAGTGGGTATTGAAAATGGATGGAATGCATAAATAGATACTTACACCACGGCACTAATGTCACAGCCTTGACCACCGGTCTGCCGAATGTATCCTCTCACAATACGTTTGGGAATTTCAGTCCCACTGACTTTCAGGCAGCAGTCCACAGCCAACTGCCCTTGAGTTACTGCAGCAATGAGACAGAAAGTGAGATTATTAGGTAGTTGTCCAGAATGAGTCCTCTGGAAAGCAGGTATCCTAATGTTTGTAATAGAAATGTTTGGATAAATGTTTATGTGTCCATGTAACTGCATGTGAGAGCAGGGGCGCCGTAAGGGGGAGGAAAGCTAGGACGATTCCAAGGGCCCCTGAGCGATAGGGGCCCTAAAAAATTAGGAAAATAACTGGATTGGTTTAGACTGGGGGGCCTAATATGATATGCTTTCATGGGGCCCAAAATCTCTAGCAGCGCCCCTGTGTGAGAGCATACAATTCTTACTCTATTAATGCCTTTAGATGTTAAGATTGGATAATATCCAATTCCACAGACCGGAATATCCAAAGGTCTCCATCTCTAGTATTTTATGTCACTGGCTGAAACTAGATTCTCATTTCATTTCCTATTCTGTTATGTTGCACAAATTCTTCTCACAAATCTTATATAGTTTAGGTTTCTGTCAGAATTAAAAAGTTTAAAATGTAAGCTAATACCAGATGATGCTTTTTAAATAAAGTTAAATCACAAGTGCAGTCGACTTGCCTACTTGCATAACCATTAAACAGTAAAAATAAATACATAAAATAAGTTGCAAATTGAGGCTGTGTAAACAGAAATTTTGATGTATTATGGCAGATGCATCTATTTATCCATCTTCACTAACCGCTAATACAGGAAGCCTGGAGTCAATTTCTGGAAGTACAGAGCAAGAGGCAGGAGATGCTGACGGGTTTCTGCACATCTAATTATGATTCTCAATTTTTGCAAACAAAATGCAAACTATCTGTTATACCTGTAAGAGTATTCTAACGTGAAAAACCATATTAGGAAAGGAAATACATATTTTTATGGCATTCATAAATACTGCCCATTGCAGTTTACTAACCTCACCTTCTGGTCCCCTGCATCTCTACGTATGCAGCAAAGATTATGTTCTATTTGGCTAAAGCACCATACACTATATGTGATACAGGCTCCTGTCTTATCTTTAAAGTTATACAACATACTAGACACTGTAATATAATATTTGCACCTGTTTTGCTTCAATGGAAGGTTAAAAGAACATGTAGCTGATATAGAGAAATTTAATAACACAGCATGAGTGTATTGTGCATTAGACAAGATTCCCCAAAACACCAAAGGGTTAAATCATCATTGTTTTCTTTCACTCAAATAAAAATTAAGATGGTAAACATTGAAGTTACTTACTTATTGTTTGCATTTACATTGTTATTTAAAAGACCTTTCCATTTAAAGCATCTTGCATGCCCATTGTCTCAAATTAACAATGCAATAATTTGAAATAAAAGAGCATGGCAGAGAGAGATAAGGGGTACGGCATGGCAGTAGCAAGCTGTATACATAAACATGCTGGATTTAGTCATGCAAATTTCCTCTTACATCACCACATCATATTAAATATACATCTTTTATTCTTGACCTTTAGTAATTCCACAATCACAAGTCACTGCTCCTTAATGAACTGAGGAACTTACTGTAAAGGCAGCAAAGGAAGACAAATGCGATGCTGAAAAATGCTGCTGCAGCCATTTCTATGATGTTGCCTGGCGCTCAGTCCCTTCAGGTCTGGACCTTCAGGCTTCATTTCTCTCCTTATATAGTCTTTAGTTTCATTATGAGTAGGAAGGGACTCTTAAATGAAAGGGCAGGGAATAATACACAGATTTACGGGAGTGAATAAAGTAATGAAAATCCCACATGGAAATGAAAAAAAAAAAACCTCTGAAGTAAACAATTTACAAACATAGCCGCAGGTGTGTAATATCAAGATGAATGCTAATAGTTAGCAGCACATCCACGCTGCTAGCAGTAAATAAAAGTATGTAAAAGGACAATATTGGACCCATAGGTTGCTAATCATTTGATAATATTCTGGCACCAGGGATGACACACAACACAGGTAAGAGTACAAGCGATACTCAGAAGCACAAATGTTTACGCTAACAAAATCAAATAGCTACTTACAAGGTATACAAGGGCTACTGTATATACACAGCCTGCAACCATGCTGGGATATGCTAATCCCACTGGCGCTATGATATATTAATAGATAGAAAGATTCATTCACAAATTTAGAGATGTATTACAATCATATCTTGCTCCAGTTATTTACACAATAGCATGTAAATCACATAGAAATATAAAACAATGAGTTAGTAAGCATATTCAGAAATGAGTTACAACGTACAAGCTCTTTAGACAGGAATGACATATGAAACGAAGCGAATCTTTTTATTTAATAATATATTATCAAATTATTAGTAACACTTTACTGATAGTTAAAGAGCAGACATTAAACTAAATTGTTACCTGTTTGATGTGTCAAGGGGCTCAGTCTCAGGAATCATGACAGCATCTGCAAACATGAACCAACTGAATCAACTGAAAAGAAGAGCAGTACAAACTCAATGACAGGAATAGTCACCTCCGTAATACTAAAAATGACCACAGAAACAAAATGGATCTCTGCAACAAACCAGACATTGACTCAGTGACAAACCACAAGCAGATTCGCCTTCAACTCCTACGCCAAAATGTGTCATTAAAAAGGAAAGTCTAACCATCACAAAACCACAAAACCATTAAAGTAAACAAATTCCCTGCCAGTTACTAACCACTCCAATAGTATGTGCACCATTTATTCATTTCCACACTTAGCATTCTACTACCCCCATGAATATCATTTAATTGGCCACTGTTTAGTTGAAATTTGAGTCAGTTTTGACTGCACTCATAGTGAATGGTAAAATTCACTTTGTTAACACAAACCTCAAACACCCTCAATTGGTCTATTCTACACTTGCCAGGTTCCCACATCCAACGGTACCTGAGTCTATTGGACAAGACTTGGGACTGCTGACTATATGGGGGCCTCTATAATCACGAGTGCAAGAGGAGATACGGACTCGGACATATGGGTAATGTGGATCCAGAGACAGGACCTTTGCAGGATGTAATTGCTGGTGATAAGCTCCTCATCTCCTTTCATAACCACATTATTGTGACATTTGGAATGTGCTGCGACCACATACTATAAAGTGAAATGTATTACAAATCCTGAAAAAAATCAACCCATAAAAGACAAGAACACCTTTCTTTTCTTTCAAATTACATGACGTGTTGCAACAATGGAAATTATAGGCCATTTGATTGTATACGTTTCAGTCTTTGACAAGAGTGGAAATTCCCTGTCCAACCTGTACGGGAGAAGGACACTCCCCATCTTTACACGAGTGACGGAGTAGGTACTTTTCTCAGTAGCTGCAGGTATTTTTTATGAGCAGATAAGACTGGAAAAGAACTTAGATTCCCCTCAGATAAGTTGCCTACTTTCCTAGGGACTTGCTGTTTTACAGCTAGATATTTAACAAAAACTTTATGTCCTATGTGAATTAGTGTAACATGGGATTAACTGAGGTGGAAAATCACTGACAGAGAAAATGAATGCAAAAGTCTAAATTAATTTTAAGAAGTTAATTTTTTTAATTGTGCATGGGGCTCTATTCTAACTCACCCATCTCCTGACCCCCCTCCCAACCCCATGTCTAAAACTTTATCAATACAAGGGGCAAAAATATGTTGAACTATTATCAAAAGTCAAAATCAAGTCAAAATATCTCTTTCAATCATGCCAGCGGCCGTCTGGATACAACAGCCAGAGTAGATGTGCAGAAAAGAAGACAGAGTAGTCCTAGCAATCTTCTCTGCAGTGATCCACTGGAGGGATTGTCAGCAGGAGGTGCTGCAGGATCCAAACAGGGACACATTTAAGAGGTGAGGATGGCCCCCTTAGTAAATACGAGGCCCCCCCTCACCGAAAGATAAAAATGAAATGTCGAACATTTAATCTTATAAACCAGAGCTGTCCAACCCATTGATCAATCGATTGCAGAGTGTAGGCAAGTCAGCTGAGATATATTTCCACCCCAGTAAAACCATTGTATAAGGTCTGGCTCTGCTGCCCCTGGTCCCAAAACAGGCTGTGATGCAGTTTATGAGAACACTCTCAATGTTACCGCTGTGGTGCACGGGATGGAAGGTGGCCGTCTCGCCTGTCTCAAGTAGTGTTGTAGTCAAGACCGCCTAAACCGAGACCAAGACTTTGCCGAGACCGGAGGGTATCAAGACCAAGACATTGCCAAGACTTGAGGGTACCAAGACCAAGACCAAGACACACTAAGGTGAGACCAAGACTAAGGCTGGTCGAGACAAAGACCAAGACCGAAAACAGACTAGGGCTAGAATCGACATCACATTACTCAGATCGACTGTAGAGAAAAAAGGCATTGCTGTACCGCTATGTCCGAGACCAAGACAAGACCGAGACCAAACAGAGTCGAGACCAAGACAAGACCAAGACCAAATAGAGTTGAGACCAAGACAAGACCGAGACCACAAAAAATTGGTCTCAAGACCGGTCTCGAGACCATGACCGGTCTCGAGAACTACAGCACTAGTCTCAAGTGCAGCGGGAAGTGAGTTTGCCACAGGGCCTTTTTGCTCAGGGAGTATACACGCAGCGTAATTTACCTTGTGTAAGCTAAATCACCACAGGGTTCATTTCTTAAGCAATAAATAGGTTTCATCATGTACCAGAGGAGTGCCTTGGCTTTTTAAAATATTTTAAATGCTTCTCACTGCACAGAGAATTGTAGAAGGAACGAGTGTTCGTGTAAATGAGTGCTCATCTCGTGAAATTGTGTCATTGGGGATTAAATGGAGTGAAAAGACACCAACAGAAAGTAAATACAATACTCAAACCTAAAAAGCAGATATACATAGCTTAGTTTAACTGTTTTTGCTCCCATAATAGTTGAAATGTCCCCTAATTAGCAAGTGCATGGGAGTCTACTGTAACTGATCTATCACCGAACCCCCTTCCCAACCCCGTGTTCAAGAAAATATGTTATTGATCCTTGGGGAAAATTCTTCAATGAATTCTTCAACCAAGAAAAACTCTGAATAATAGTAAACTCTTAGCAATACTCATGACTGTGCTCTTTTAAAAGGATATTCTGAATTTGAAAATATATGATGAACACTTGTGAAAAGTCAATGTCAAATCAAAGTACCTTTGTTGTCCTTTTCAGCTATTTGATGCATGGGTCATACACTGATGGGAACCCGTCTGCTGGCCTTTCTTGGTTAGGGAGGATTCATCTGCATATTTCAGCTTGTGTAAGCTAAATCACAGGGTTAATTTCTTAAGCAATAAAACATTTCATCAGCTACTAGATGAGTGCCTTGGGTTTATTTAATTTTTAAATGCTTCTTACCTCATAGAACATTCTAGAAAAACAAATTCTCACTGTCTGTGCGCTTAAATTACATTAGTTGATAGAAGGGTTGGTTTTCTCACCGCAGTTAAAGGAGCACGCTCCTGTGGCTAACCACATGTCTCAAAGACAACACTAACCACTAGAAAAACAGAAGCGAAAAGAAATGATTTGTAACAGCCAAAAATATTCAAGAAATCCCCTGTCCCTCAAGCAATAATGTTGAACTGATCTACTGACCTACTCTTTACAGAACCTTGAAGAGTTTCATTTATGGAGAAACTGCTCCCTTTATGTAGATTAACGTACAATATAAGGCACATATGACTTCTTGAGATTACAGGAAATAGTTAATTTATCCTTGTTCTATATCTTGTTCTAAAATTTGTGGAATCTGCCAAGTTAATGTTTGTACTTCTTAACCTAAATATCTTCCATACGTGTGTCCTGTGTAGGATCACGATGGCCCTGGAGCCTATAGTCATCATAACATGGAGAGAAAATGCAACCTGTTTCCTACGACAGCAGTGCTACAGTACTCATTCAGTCACCTTGCCCAGCGCTAACACCTTTCAATTCTTCCCAAAAAGCAGGCACTCTGGTGCAGATGATTACTTGAATGGAAACAAAATTTGAATGGGCTTGATTGGAACCTGACAATTATGTAATAGCAATAAGCGACTAATTACAAGAGATATCGAATGCAAAAAAGTTTTCTTTGCATTTTAAATAAGCTCAAATACTAAGGGGTCTTTTTAAGCCCCGGGCTTCCATTCCTCATTGCCGAATCTTGAGCAGAACTCTGCCAAGTCTAAACTGGTTTAGCTGAAACTGGTTAAGTCCCCCCTGTCTTGCAACCTTCCAGTTCTTGTTTTGTAGAGTTCTTACGTAAGAAAACCCTTGGAAAAACCCTAACCCTTGTCCTGCCCGATTTCACTTACAATAGAATGTGCTTGAGACTGGACCCAGTATCTTGATAACAGTTTAAGTTATTTCCCTGCATGACATTGCGAATGTAAATTAATTTTGTTCTTTATCATGTTGTTGCTTTATATACAATTTTTAGAGGAGTCTTATTAGATATCTTGGCCAGGAAACGGTATGAACTGTATTTTCACTGCATGAAAGCTATTAAAACCACAGATTTGTCAACCTTAACCTCACAAACCAGACTTTGACTGTTCATGGTAACTTTATATCTCAGTTTAAGATCTCTTGGTTTGGGGAGGGGGGTCACCAATCTTACAAAATGATTGATAGTGGTAAAGAGAAAATTAAAAAGAAATATAAACAAACATGAAACACTGATAAAAGAAATGGTCCTCTGAGATAAAAAATTAC